AATCAGTTCAGTTTGTATATTCTTTCCTATAAAGTGATCTAAAATTTATTTTTGACGGATTCGTTGAGTGTGCTTGGCGATAACTAAATCATAAATTACTAGCATCACAACTTGTCAATGAAAGTTTTCATTACCTGTTTCGCTAAGCTTTTCGACATTACAGCTAAAATAGCAGATTTTTTTCAGCTAAGTATTGCACACTGAACTAACAAATTTTAGCCAATGATTTCTTTCTTTTTTAATTATCTTTTGACTAAAAGCATCCAACGTCACATGAGCTTTCAAACTTGAGCGCAAAAGCTTCTATATTTGCATGTAATCCAAGTGATTTTGGCTCTCTTAGTGCTCTTTCAGACTTTGCGAAAAGTGCTACTATACAAAAAACTCATTATTCAACAAGTTAGAAGTTGACACCCCTAGTGGTCTGCAGCAAAAACAAAATAATAAATAAATTTGTTTTGAAAAAAGAAGCTGGCTTTGTTTGAATAATTTTGCCGTTTTTGTGGACGCGAGAGTATAAATCTGTAAAGCGGCGTCGTCATTGCTCAAAAGAAAGTAAAATCCATTTACCTTGCTAGATATAATTTTTTCACGGTCTATTTAAAAAGTATCAGCAACTCTGATTTCCAAGCTGGAACATTATTATTGTCAATTACATGTTATGCATTAAAATTGTATTTTACATCACTTTGAACTGTGTGCTCGTAGCCAGACGTTCCCCAGGGATGCATTATAGGTCCTTTGCTTGTTCTTATCTATATCAACGACATATTTTTGTCGTCTTGTATACTAAACTTTCATCTTTTTGCAGATTATACTCAAGCTTTCTACATCCACTAAAATATTAATATTATTTTTAACACAGTAAAACAGTAGCTTGAAGAGTTAAGCGATTGGTTGAAGGCCTGCTCCTTGAACATCGAAAAAAGCAAAAAAACTGTCTAAAATGTTTATACTTTGCATTTTTTCATAGCTAAATTAACTACTACAATTTTGTCTGGGCAACAGTACTAACCAATTATAACTAGCTTTAGTCTATAAAAACAAAAGCAAGCATGCCTCATGTTCACAAATGGATAGTACTAAACAAATAATTATATATTCCAAAATGTAACTAAATCAACATTTTATCTTTAAAATAAAAGAAAAATATTTTAGAATTTTTTTTATAAAAGAAAGAAATTAAAGAACTTTTAGTTTAGTTCATCGTTGCTATGGGAATCATATTCTTCCATATTTTATATGTGAATCATATTCTTCCATATGTAGTAAAAAGAAAAAATGTCTGCCATATACAAAGTAATCGACTGCATAATAAGAGACATTCGAATCATTTCGTAAAAACATGATAATATCAGATTCTCAGTATGGCTTTATTTAGAATAAAAAAAGAATAGAGTCTTTAGATTAAGTTTTCAGTCTTGATTGTTAGTACTTCACAAATAGTTTATTTTAATTTATTTAATATTATTAATATTAGTTCTTAATATTTATGAACAAAACGTCTATAGCATCCTTCAGCTTATGTTTAATTGAAAATATAATTTGGTCCCAAAAAGATTCCATAATTACTTACAACTTATTGATCACAAATACGTAACAAAATATTATATGCATAACTACTATATTCCAAAAATACTTTTAGACAATCCAAATTCTAAATATCTAGAAAGAGACCGCAATCGTGGAACTCATTTCTCACAAATGATGTTTAAACGATAAACTCGTTTCAACATTTTAAATGCGTTGCTCAACAAAAGTTACTTGAACTTAACATTACTGAAACAATCTCTTTTGCCTGTCTCAAAATTTTTTTAATTTACACAATAGCTGGAAATGTTTATGGTTATATTTATAATAATGCAGTTACTTTATATTCATAAGTATTTACTTAGCTATTTTAATTATACGAGTTTATATATATATATATATATATATATATATATATATATATATATATATATATATATATATATATATATATATATATATATATATATATATATATACATATATATATTTCTGCTTGCTCCAGTCATTTTTTTACGTTAATAATTTTGTAAAAAAAAATTTATATTGACGAAAAAAGATTATCTATTTATCTATGCTAAATGGATAACTAGTCCAATCAAGATAGTCCACTGACTAATTCTTGCACTTAATAAGCAAAAAAAAGAAGTCTCTCTTATATAAAGTTATTTCGGCTATTAAACAACTTAAAATATCAAATAACTTACTCAAAATTAAAACTAACACTTCTCAAATCGCAATTGGTGGAGCGCTAAGCCAAGAAGGAAGAAAAAAAGAAATTTATAGAGTTATATCAAAAGTCGAAAGTCTCTAATCTGTCATAATTGAGTGTTAAATGGGTATTATGAAGTGTTTGTCGTCACTTCCAAATATTTTACCACAAATACCGATTCTTAGTACACTTCGACAATTGTATATCAAACAAGGTAAACAGAAGATAGTATGATTCAAGCGTTTAAGGCCTTTTTAGTTCCCAGCCCTCCGCCATCCCAAACCTTTGCAAGACCTCCTAATTTGACATAGATATGAGCATACTTAAGTTTGGACTTTGCACAATGTGTTAAAGTGTCCTATCTGAAACATTAAAGAAAAGCCAGCGTCTATGGATGTAGCAGTACTCAAAGCCGTCACAATGAGATTTCAAAAGGTTGCAGGGATGAAGGGAATAGCCAAAGAAATTTTTTTGCCATCTAAAACCTTAAATTGAATAAAAAAAGATCCTCGTTGGGTGACATTTGACGACTGCCGACTAAGCATCAAAATTTGCCGTCTCCGGTGTCCAAATTTGCCGACTAATTTTTGAATTAAATTTTCATAGTGGGGTTAGACACCCCATACGCCCCCTTCTTGGGACGTCCCTAGTAGCAATATCTTGATTTCTCCCTGAATCAGTATGATATCTGGTCTGCGTTTTTTTGAAAACTCAAAAAATAATTTTGAGTAATACTATCTTCTGTTTACCATCAAACTATGCCAACCAGAAGTTCCACGACTCAACCACAACCGAAAATCACAAAATTTATCCTACACTACTAAATTCGAGACATTACAACATACCTTACAATGACTGCCAGGTATACTGTGAGCCCAAAATTCCTTCTAGTCATAGTTGATGAGTATTTGAGATTATTTTCATTTCTAATTGCTCTCAAATTACCTCTACACTACCTCTAAATATTTTTTAGAGATATTCTCTTTCTTCGGTACCCGTGCTTGCATCCGCTCTGACCGATGTACACAGTTTGACGAAAGAAAACTAAAGAACTTCTTTATGGCTAATAGTGTTAACAAGACTCCAACAACGCCTTCATTACAATTTATTTAGGAAATAATATTAATAAATCTAGTCTTACGAAGTTTTGGGCTAGAAAAACTGACTAGGAACTGGTATTTTCTATAGCTCTATCCTCTACTAGGTCACCACTATGGACAGCTACAATTATAGACCACATAAACTAATTACATTTAAATATGCAACTGACACTGGTGTCAATTTATTTTATTATTACAAACCAACCACACCTCGAAGATCTTCATTTAGGCTCAATTTGTTAAAAAACTAAAGAAATTCTAACATAAATTTTTGTTGTTGTTGAATATGTTATCTTATTTTTTATTTATATTATCCATATGATATATGATTGTGTTACTGTATATTTTAGATTTATAATAACAACATTACTAATAACATAAAATTTATATTTATCTTGATCGGGATTAAAATAAACATATAAACAAGAATTATATATTTTTTAATTTTTTTAATAATATTATCAATTTAAAAATCAAGCTGTTGTAATCTCAATTCTCAGACACATTTCATATATGTATTTGATCTAGGTAGTTTCAGGCCATTGCAAATGATAAATGTAGAAAGTGTGATTAGAAATTTTATAGTTTACAAAAATATGAAAGTGGTAATTAAAAAAAAAAAGATTTTAAAGTAAACAGTCCGAGGATTTGATGCAGTAAAATTAGTAACTTGAACTTACAAAAGTTTTTCTATTTATGGATTGCTTTTCTAAAAATTTAAATGTAAATACTTCTCTCCAGTTTAAAATTGGTATAAAATAATTCCCTAATTTACTACCTAAAAGGACTCCTAGTATTGTCAAAAAGTCTGTTCCCATCTACTAAAAGTGTGCTATACAAAATATATTTCATTATAAATTTGAAAATTTGTAAATGGAGATTAGAGTTATATTTATAACTTATTTGTTTATATTTAATGCATTGTAATTATTTTATCCTCTTTACTTTACCTATTGTATCCTATGTAATATCTTGGGTCTTGAGCTTGTTGATAAATTTGAATGATTGAAACTTTGTATGAGAAAAAATAGAGTTTAAAACATAAAAATACGAGAATAAAATATGTGTTGTCGTATTGGTTTTTTAAGCAAATTTTAAAAGTACTAAATTAGATTAAGTCAAACATATATAAATGTCCAACATCCAAAAAAACACTTTAATTTATTATTTTTTCAGTATAATAACTTTAAATCTAATGTGGTATCTCATATCTTAAATATATTCAAACTAAGAGACTTTCTGTTACTCCTAGTTTGTTTGAATTATTATCACAAAAACATTCTCCTATCATTCAACAATTTTTTACAAGAACTGTAATTATCCTCTTTGCTCTATCAGTAGTTTTAACTCTCTGCAAGGTAAAAAAAGTAGTGACACCTCTCTGCAAAGTATAGAAATAAATCCATTAAATATCAGTGTATAAGCTTGTGGAACAAACTACCTTCAGATTATTGTTGTAAAGTACTTCAAATATTAGAGTTTTAAATACATATTTAAAGTACTTTTAAAGTATTTGTATTTTAAATACTTTTTAAGTCAAACAGTTAGTATTTACATTCTAAATACCAACATTGAGGTATTTTGTGGATTCAATGTCTTTCAAAATATAAAATACATTTTTGTTTGTTTTTTGTTTAAAATTTGAAAAAATTAAAAAGGAACAAGTTTCAAGGAAGAAATAATCAGAATGGTCTGCACAAGAAAGGTGTCACTGCAAAAACATTTTATATTGGAATTGGTGTTCAACTAACATTGAGTTCAACAACTAATATTTAGCAATTAACAGCAAGTACCAAAGTTTTTCTACAAGCCAAGGTAAATGATTTAATTATTATGTACAAACAACAATACAGGGGGCCATTTGCTCAAAACTGTTGTCACGTGTCAGCCTAATCACAAAAGCATTCAACGATGTGAAGAATATTACTTAAGTTTCATTGAGGACACCAGGGGAGACTAGATGTAATTCTTCATACAATGTTATGTCAATTTTTTGAGCCTAGAGTAAAAAAAAAAGCTCCCCAAATCACGAGTGAATTAAAATTGTGTTGTTTTAAATCATTGAAACTTGTAATGCTTATTCCAAAATATATTAATAAAATATATTAATAAGAAATATTAATAAGATTTGTTTTAAGATTTAGCCGACTTAAAACACTTTCAAGAAAAATGTTTTAAAATATTTTGATATTAAGTATTTTGTATTTTTAATATTTTTGCTTAAAAGTATTGTGTTTAAACTTTATATATTTTTATGAATAAGTATGCATCTTCGCATTTAAAATACTTTTTTTAAACTATTTTACAACACTGTTTCTGATATGTAAGAAAAAGTTTCTGTACTGTTAGAAAAAGCTGTCGCTATTATCTACAATCTGCTAATAGCTATAATCTTCATGTACCAAATCATTCTTCTGAAAAATATGGTCTAAAATCCATAAAATACTAAAGTATAAAATCATGGAACAGTCTACCTTTACCATTAACTAATTTCAAAAACTGTCTTTTAAACTATTTTTTAGCAAGATATTATACCTGAAGCCTTTGAAATATGTTGATATGCTTTTATTATTACTACTCTCTTGATACCTACTAGTTTTATTATTAACTTTTTGTTCTCATATTTTTATTGTTATTGTTAGTATTGATATTAATAATATTCTTCTATCTTTATTAGTAAATTATTATTTTTATTTATAACATAATAAGTATTATTATTGCTTTTTTTAATTTTTTCTTAAGTTTATTTACTACTTATACTATGTAATTGTTATTATCACTATTATTGCTATTATCTAATATTGATTGTATAATATTTTTATTTTTATTGTTTTTATTGTTACTAATAATATTCCTCTTCATCGTCATTTTATTATTATTGTTAATATTATTTCTATAACTATTATCAATACTATTATTATTGTTATTATGATCACTTTTATTGTAATGTTGCAGGTTTTTACTTTAGATTAGTACTTGTACTATTTGTAAAAGTCCTTGAAATTTTAGAGAATATATATATTGAATTGAATTGAATTGAATTGTAACCTCTTAACTCAATCTCTGACTTTAAAATCAAGCTTTTCAATTAATTGTTAAAAAAATACAACACATTAGTACAAGTACCATTGTATTTTATTATATTTTGTAATTAACAATAGTACAAGTACTAAAATACATATAAAGAATTACCTGAATATACAACATTATATTATAATAGTATTAATAAATGACATCTACAATAGAAGTTATAATACTAACAATAAGAATAAATGATAAAAGTAATTATATAAAAATTTATGTTTTGTATTATCAATGTTAAAATTAAAAATAGTAATTTTAATAGTTAGTGATATGGCCTAAAAACAAAAACTTTGTTTAATTTGATTTTTATTGAGTTAATAAAAATATAGCTATAGAATGGTTATTCTTTTGATAATCATTTTTTATCTTAAATCCTTAAAAAAGAGGTTGTTCTATTGTAAAACAAAATTGTTTATTATTGAAAACCCTAAGTTTTGAGAGATTTATGAAGCATTAGTGGCAAAAAAATTAGAAGATTTAGGGTACAGGAGTTATTCATTTTTAAGATTGAATATTTATGTAAAATGACAACCAGAACTTGGAGACTCTGGGACTTCAGGCTAAAAAGTATTAGGGTCTAAAATAGTCTTTCATCACATTTTGAGATCTTAGAAATCAGAAACAGTGAAAAAAAACATTAATTTTGTGACTTTCAAAAGCATAGTCAGTTTTAGGAATTTACATCATAAACTAGATTTACAAAATAAAATAAAACTAGATTTGCAAAATAATAAAATAAAATTAGATTTACAAAAGATTTACAAAATAAAATAAAATTAAAAAAAAAAAAAAAAAAAAAAAAAAAAAAAACATCTTTTATTGTATTTTTTTTATTAAAAGACAATTTTTTTAAGTATTTACAGAAAAAAAAATTTATCATTTACATTATAAAGTTTTAAAAGAAATTAATTAGTTTAAAAGATTTTTAATTGGAAGAGTTGTCTTGTCTTGTACATTCATGTCTTGTCTTGATGATTCAACAGTTTTCTTTTTATGATTCAAAGTTATCTTTTTGATTCCTAACAAAAGTTAAGATGAACAGAAAACTTATGAAAAGAGAAAAAAGAAATATAATGTAGATAATCAAGAGAAAGAAAAAAATTTATTAAATAATTTAGTTGCCCATATTATGATAATCTTTATAGTTAGATTAAATTTTGTTGTTTGTTAAAAATAACTTTCACATCATTTTTTGGTGTTGTTTATATAATTAATTTTATTGAATTTAACAAGTGATGCGGAAATTATCTGACAAACTTGAATTATTCAAGCATTTAAATTTGTTTTTGTGTTAAAATATTCAAATTTTGTGAAATTATTCAAGTATGTTAATTTGTTTTTGTAGTTTTATATAAAGGCATAGATGTTCTATGAAATATAAACCTTATTATTAATAACACAGTTATTTAAAGTGAGGCTAAATAAAACTGAATTTATTTAGAATCTTTTTGAAAGCTATTTCAAATAGTTTTTGTAAATACACTTAATTAAAAAAAAAGTAAAATTTAATCATTTTGAAAAAAAATTTGCTCACCGTACAATATATACCTTAAAAAGACTTAAAATTGTTAATCCTTTTATGATAGAGAGCAACCTGGTTGTCCAGCATTCTGGACTGGAGTAAAGAAAGCCAAATTATTGAGGCTCAACAGTCTAAAAGAGGTAAATCAGAAAAATATTAGGTCTTAAGTTCGGTGCAAATCAATTGACAATGTCGTCAGTTTAAAAAAATGAATATTAAATATAAAAAATGTAAAAAGATTCCAAAATAAATTATTGAACAACAATTAAAAGCAAAGAAAAGAAGCAGGAAACTTGTTAACCAGCTCTATAACACGAAATCACTTTTGATCATAAATGAAAAAAAAATACTTTTGTTTTGCAGGTAATTTATGCAGTTGGAAATTCTGGGTAATAACACAAACAGCAAAAAAACATACCCAAAAGTATTCATTTTATAGAAAAAGAGAAATTTTCAAAAAATTAATGTAAGTAGCCATATCTGACCATACTATGTCTGAGCCAATGTTTTATACTTTAAGACTGTAGCAATTGATAAATTGATTCATATTGATAAATGTTCAGAAAAACAACTTTTTCCATTCATTTACAAATACCATGGAGGTTTTAACAATTTATTTTAGCCAGACTTATAAAGTTCTTCTAAATATTCTAAAGATTCTTTAAATTTGATGTCAATTAAATTGCTAAAGAATCCAACCTCCCAAATGTGTCTCAAGCACAACCAATAGAAAACTTTTGGTGACATTTGGCACATGAAGTTTATAAAGGATATTATCAAGCTTCAACATAGCAAGTTTTGATTGATAGAACTAAATTAAAACAACAAGAAATGATTTAAATTTTTACAGTGGCGTCAAAGGCGTTAAAAAAAGCGTATAAAAGGCTTCAAAGTAAAATTGAGATCAATTGCAGATGATCATGTTTTATATATCACTTATGATGGTGTTATTTCATATAAGAAATAACACCATCATAATAACACCATCATAATAACTTTCAAATAACTGAATTTTTATTTTAAAGATAAATAATTTAAAAAAAAAAAAAAATTATCAATTTTGGTTTTCTAATTTATAAATAAGATATTGAAAATGTTACAATTTTAGATTATATTCCAACTCTTATTCATTTCGCCATGTTCTCCTGGTACTTGGGTTAATATGACAATCACTTATGACTTTGTTGCTTCCAATGAAATAATTATTTTACAAAATGCAATTGAAGAAAATGGAAAAATTGATACCATGAGAGTGGGACTATACAACATGACTTCTATTGATGGTAACTTTATTTATTTTTTTATTATTTCATTAAATAATAATGATAGTTAGTTTTAAAGAAAATTTTAAATTTATTAAATTATTTATTTTTGGGTAGATGTTTTAAAGTGTAAATAAAACATTAATATCTTTCTTTGGAATTTAGGATGTAAAAGTAAAACTAGTGTGGTGTCTTATTAACCATCGATTAACTTACTTTTATTAACTCTACCAATTCCATTAATTTCTTTCTTACTTTTATAAAGTCACTCCTTTGTATTCCCATGTAATTATTGGAATTAACAAGTTAAAGAACTTCTTAATTTTTAAAATTCTTCACTAAAGTATTTTAAAAATTAGTTTTTAAATAACTTTGAAAAACTAACTTTTTTCAAGACAAACAACTTTAGGAGAAATATGTTTATTGAATAAATGATAAAACAATAAAAAATAACATAATATGTTCAAGTATAGTATCAATTATTTTGATTTTATCAAATTTTATCAAATGAATGGAAGGATATAAACTGTTTATTTGCTATGCATATTGCTATGAATAATAGTTTGCATATGCGTGGACAAATTGCTTGTTTTAAACAAGTTTTTAATATAAACTAATTTATATTATTTTTTTGATATTAACTATTTCTATTTGTTTTAATATCAAAGAGTCAAAATACTTTGCTCTGAAAGAATTTTATTTAATATAATAAAAACATGCAAAAAAAATTTTTTTTTACCATAGTAACCATGGCTCTACCTTAATAGTTAACACTTATGTTTGCATTACGTTTATTAATTTTTAAGTTTTTTAATTTTTATTGAGCTTTGAACAGTTTTTTTTAAACATTAGTTTTCTAGAATTTAATAAAAAAATATTTTAAAAAGTAAAAATAATATGTAATTGTACATTAAATAATTTGGGAATTTAGTGATTTTGTTTTTATGAAATACAACCTATTAGCTTAAGCAACTCTTAACTAACATATTGTCATACATTAGGATTAAAGTTATAAACCGAAAGTTTGAACTGTGCAAAATAGTCTCAAATGTTGCTAATCCAAGTTCAAAAAACATAATTGTAATGCTATCTTGACATTAACAACCAAAAAACTTTCTAACACAATTTGTATGAGCAGTATTGAGTCGATTTAATACAATGATATTATAACATTTACTATTCCATAAAACAATGCGTTTTAAATAAACATGATTTGACATAAATGTTATTATTTCCAAATCTATGTAGTAAGACATTAGCTCTGGCATAAAAAAAATACATTTGATTCAAAAGTATTTAAAACTTTCCGCAATTTTCAAGTTACTAGCATCCAATACAAAGCAAGGAATAAAGTAAGCAACTCGCCTTAGAAAGTTGTAGGGCACAAAGATCATAGTATATCATTTTTTTTTTCATTGAATTTTATGTGTAATTCAGTAGCAACAATAGAACATAGATCTAATAAATATTGTTGGTCACTCCAAGATGGAGCATTTTGAGGACATTCAAGTTTTTGGTGTTTCCATGTATGTCCGTAAAACAAAAATTTTTTGTTTCGTACATAAACTTAAATGTTCTCAAAACAATTGAAAAACCTGGCTAGTTTTTTGCAACTAAATATAATTTCCGTGGTTAATATTCGAGAGCGATCGCTCCCACTTCCTGACCAAGCCTGCAACAACTTCATTAAATTTTTCAATTTATTCACAGAAGAAATTGAAAAATGTAGTGTATTGAATGGGAAAATTGTAGCCATGTCTTTAGATGGCTGGAGTAATGTACATAATGAACCTATAGTTTGTATCTCTGTAGTTACAGATAAAATTAACATTTTAGTAAAAACAATCAACACTTCTGGTCATTTGCATACTGGTGAATATCTTACACAATTAGCAAGAGAAGTAATAGATTCTGTAAGACGTAAATTTGGATGCACAGTAAAAAGCTTTGTGACTGACAATATAGCTAATATGAAATCAATGAGACAAGTATTGTCATCTGAAAGAGATATTATCATAACTTATGGGTGTGCTGCTCATATGCTGTATTTTTTAGCAAATGATCTTAACATTGAAAGTGTGAGCAAGCATGTTACACAAATAAAATAAATAAGAAATAATCATCAAGCTGGAGTAATTTATAAATTGAGCGGAGGAACGAAATTGCCACTTCCTACTGAAACTCGCCGAAATTCTGTATGTAATTTACTTGAAAAATATGACAACAACTGGAGCATCATTTTCACAATGTTTGAAAAAAATAAAGACTCCTATGATTGGTAAAAAGTGATATACAGATAAAGCAAAACACAGAAGATTTATTGAAAATATTAAAACCAACTGCAGTAGTTCTAGATAAGTTGCAAAGAGATCAAACAAAAATAAGTGACACTGTTGAAATTTTTAAAGATTGGATGAACAGTTTATCATTTTTATCAAACGAAAAAAAAAATTGAATCTAGATACTTTCAGACTGTCAGCCATGCTCATTTCCTGGCAAACACACTAGATCCTAGATATTTTGAATCTAATCTTTCTGAAAATGAAAATGAAGCTGCCATGAATTTCGCAGATAAAGAGTTCAAGAATTTGTTACCAATAATATTCAACTTAAAAGCCAAATCTACTCCATTCTGTAAAAGCTATTTGTATAGTGAATCACCAATAGAATGGCGGAAATCTCTAAAAATTGTGGATTATAACATAATGGATATTGAAGGTTTATTAAATGCACTAGCTGCTAGTGCTGGAATCGAAAGAATATTTTCAACTGTTCATTCTAAGTTAAGAAACCAATTGGGGGTAGAAAAAACAGCAAAGCTTGTATTTTTATATAGAACATTAAACAATGATATATTGAATAATTTTGATGAAAAAAAAAGTTTTTTAATGTTTTTTAAACAAACTGTTTTATGATTGACATTGTCAAATGTTTTTCTTAAATTTAGGAAGCAAGCAAAAACATAGCTTCCATTTAATCACTAGCAACCAATTACTTCTTTAAAAACTGAGCACCCAAGGCTAGTTGAATGACCAGGTTTGAAACCAAACTGAAATTAATCATTTGCTGGATTGTAGGAATGAAAGCCATAAAACAAATAGACTTTAGAATTCATATACAATTTATACAATTAGATAGGGCAATTGCACAGTAACTATTTGCATCAGAAATATTACCAGGTTTATTTTTCAGAAGTGGTACAAAAGTTGTTTGCATTATATCCAAAAGCAAATAGCACATTTTAAATAAAAATGTATATATATATATATATATATATATATATATATATATATATATATATATATATATATATATATATATATATATATATATATATGATATATATATATATATATATATATATATATATATATATATATATATATATATATATATATATATATGTATATATATATGTATATATATATATATATATATATATATATATATATATATATATATATATATATATATATATATATATATATATATATATATATATATATATATATATATATATATATATATATATATATATATATATATATATATATATATATATATATATGTATACCCAATTAGCACCTCTCAGTTGTTTGTTTTATTTTTAATGTTTAAGTAATAATGTTTTGATATTTAAAATTTTTGATTTCAGTTCCACCTCCTCCATTTAAATTCACTGCTGAAGCAATTTCACTTGATTCAATTAATGCGTCATGGACACCTGTAAATGTCACAATTGATGGTAATTTAACAGTTCAAGGTTATACAGTTTTCTACAGAAAGTATCAAGATCCAAATTCTCAATGGAACTGGACCTCATGTCAGGTAATGTTTAGTACTTGAAGTAACAGCCTAGCATTGATCAATGATATTTTGTTATTCCAGATGATATTTTGTTATGATTTCATAATGATATTTTGTTATAATTTTGGCTAAGTTTGAGCAACAAACTTAATTAGTCAAACAGATCAAAATTTTATAGTCAAGTATGAATAACAAAAAAGTTTAATTTATGATAATTAAAAAAATGTCTTTTCGCATTTTATTACTCAAAGAAAATTTTATCTTGAATATATATTTTTATTTATTTAGTTTTTTAAAGAGATTGTTATAAAAATTGAAACTTTATTTGAAATTTAACTGTGACCATTTGTTATGATATAAACTGTTTTCAAAAAAACAAGTTTAGGGTAATTCCATATCAATTGAACCAGGTCAAGTCACCATACATCTCAGAGTTTGCAGATTTTTATACCATTGAGAGTACTTAGTAAAATTAGAATTTATTAATTTCTCTAACTCCAAGAAAATCCTGAAATATAAACATTTTAGTTTTAGCAAGTATTGCCAGCTCCAGTGACTGGGTGATGTTTAACATTGTGGAGTAAAGGTGGGGGGGGGGGGGGGGGAGGGGGCAAGAGGAAAATGTTGAAACCAATATAAATATTGGTGGCACATTCACTTATGAAAACTTTTTTTTTGAGAATTGCACTTATGAGATCCTCAAAAAAAAAATATTCTATTGATCCTTTTATGTGCCTTTTATCATAACTAGTACATGCCCTGAAAACAATTTTAACACACGTTTATCAGAGCTCCAGCTAGTTTATCATATTATGCCCTGTTATCCACAAATGAAAATCCATATGCTTGCAAATCAAAATCAAAATCTTTATGTTTTCTGAAAGGTCATTCAATAGAACGATGAGTAAAAATTTTTTTTTGATATCATCAATGCCACATGGATTTCTTGAGCATCAAAACCAGGTTAATGAAAAGTTGCTTAAATTTATTTAATTTGATAATTAAAGGTACTTAATGAGAAGTATTTACATTTTTGACCATTTCATTGAATTTGATCATTGATTTTGATCATTTCATCATCACCCCTGAAATTAACCATATTTTTAAATAAAAAAGACCTTTAAATTTTTATTAAAATTAAAAATAAGTAAAAAGAAAAAATATTTTTAAAGTTATGCAATTTAAAACCTTTTAAATAAATGTTGTGGTTCTAAGGGGACAAGAGGAGCCAGGCTAATATCTGCTAGAAATAAAATAGTCATATTGCAGGATAATCATAGAGCTAGAGGCAAAAAAATTAAGGAATTCTTATTTTACTATGTACTTTAAGTGTGTATTTTATGTTAAGTGTGTATTTTATGTTAAGTGTGTATTTATTTTAAGTGTGTATTTTATGTTAAGTGTGTATTTTATGTTAAGTGTGTATTTTATGTTAAGTATGTATTTTATGTTAAGTATGTATTTTATGTTAAGTGTGTATTTTATGTTAAGTGTGTATTTTATGTTAAGTGTGTATTTTATGTTAAGTATGTATTTTATGTTAAGTATGTATTTTATGTTAAGTGTGTATTTTATGTTAAGTGTGTATTTTATGTTAAGTGTGTATTGTATGTTAAGTGTGTATTGTATGTATTTTAAGTGTATAAAAATCAGCATAATAATTTTTTATTAAAAAAAATATTATACTGAAAATAAATATTATACTTAAAATAAATAAATATTATACTTAAAAATACTTATTTTTCTAAAAAAAAAAATTAAAAAAAATCAACATATGATGAGATTTTTAAAGATTTTTGGGTCAATTGAAATAAAATCATATTTTATATAGCTATTATTTTATGTATTTTATATAGCTATTTTTTTATGTAAAAAAAAAAAAAGACAATGCATTTTTTTAAAATACAACAACAACAACAACAACAAGCTATATATTTTCCATTTTAAAATCAGATGTATTTTTAATACATTGTTTCCAGTTTAGGATGTTGAACGCTGGATCTTCTTGACTCGATGCATGGGTTTTGCTTGCGTCTCTGTTTTTATGACTAGGCAACTCATTCTATTATCTCCAAATAAGGGTACAGCTCTAAAACTCAGTTTTATGGTTCTGAGGCCGGCTCGTAGTCAGGTTTCCGAACTCTGTGGTAGCTCTCAGAGAGGCTGATTCCATCAACAGCTGAAAAATATCAGAGTACTAACAGTGCCATGTTGCGCATGGATAGTGTTCCTGTTTGTACTTTTGGTGTGCATTGCCAAGTTTGCTAAACCTATCATTCACCAATATTCGTGGTCTACGAATTAACTTTTCTTCTGTTGAGTCTTATCTCTTGCAAAGTTCACCAGACCTACTTGCTCTTTGTGAGACTAATTTGAGTTCAGCTGTCTCATTTTGTGATCTTAGTGTTGATGGTTATCTTCCTTTAATTCGTAAAGACTCCAATAGTCACATGCTTGGCCTAGGCATTTACATTCATAAGAATTCACCCATTTGTCAGGAAACTAGTTTTGAATCCACAGACTACTCTTTTATGTGCTTTCGTTTAGCACCACTTCACTCTATCACCTTTCTCTTTGTTCTATATTGCTCTCCTTCATCTCAAGATTGCACTCTTCTTGATGTTATTTCTGATTATATTGACCAAGCCGTCATTCTTTATCCATCAGCCAATATTGTTGTCGGTGACTTTAATGTTCATCACACTGAATGGCTTGGCTCTAGTGTCAGTGACTCCGCAGGCATTAAGGCCCACAACTATTGCCTTTCTCAATCCCTAACTCAAATAGTCAACTTTCCAACTCGCTTTCCAGACAACCCGAATCATTTACCTTCTCTACTCGACTTATGTCTTGTTTCTGATCCTAGTCAGTGCTCAGTTTCTCCACACTCACCTTTAGGTGCTTCTGATCATGGTTTGGTCTTTCTAAAACTATTATCTCATTCTTCTTTACGATCAGAATCCCCCTATCATTGTACATCTTATAACTACCTTAAAGCTGACTGGGACTCTTTCCGTGATTTTCTTTGTGATGGCCCCTGGGTAGAAATTTTTTGTCTTCCTGTTGACAGATGTGTTTCTTACCTAACTTCGTGGATTCAGGCTGGCATGGAATCCTTTATTCCCTCTCGACGATTCCAGGTCAAACCTCACTCTTCTCCATGGTTTTCCTCACATTGTGCTGCTGCAATTGCCAATCGAAACCATTACTTCCATATCTATCAGCAAAACAATTCTCCAGAAAACAGACGTCTGTTTATTACTGCTAGGAACCATTGTAAAAAGGTTTTGTCTAACGCCAAAGCCCGCTATTCTCAGATCATGAAATCTTGTATTTCATCACAAAAATTAGGCTCTTGTGACTTCTGGAGAATCTTTAATAGTATCAATAATAAGGGCAAGTCTGTAATTCCACCTCTTTTGTACAGTTCAGACTTTGTCACCTCACCTAAAGACAAAGCTGAATTGTTTGCCAAGAACTTTTCATCAATATCATCTCTGGAGCTGTCGTTTATCCTTTCAAAACTATTGAACAAATGCTTATCAGAGTCTTGTTTTCCAGCCTGCTGGAAAGCAGCATCTGTTATCCCTATTTTTAAAAATTCTGGAGAGCAATCTGATTTGTCTAACTACCGTCCCATTAGTCTTTTTCCTATCATAAGCAAGGTTTTTGAATCTTTAATTAACAAACACTTAATCTCTTATCTCGAATCTCATAACCTACTTTCTGATCATCAATATGGATTTCGATCTTCTCGTTCTATGGCTGATTTGCTAACAGTAATAACCGATAGGTTTTATCGCGCATTAGATAAAGGTGGAGAGGTTAAGGCCATCGCTCTTGACATTTCTAAAGCGTTTGATAAAGTTTGGCATGCTGGTCTTCTCCATAAGCTTTCTTCTTACGGTGTATCTGGAAACATCTTTAAGATTATTGAATCCTTCCTTTCCAATTGTAGTATAAAAGTTGTCCTTGATGGACAGCACTCTTCTTCTTATTCTGAACCTCAGGGGTTCCTCAAGGTTCAATCCTTGGCTCTATACTCTTTTTAGTTTACATTAAGGATCTTCCAGATATTCTCACATCTAAGGTGGCATTATTTGCTGATGATACTACCATTTATACTTGTCACGATAAGAAGCCAACTCCCGCTGATTGCTTGCAGGGGGCATCTGAGCTTGAAAAGGATCTCACTTCTGCTACAGCATGGGGCTCACAGTGGCTGGTAAACTTTAATTCAGATAAAACTCAATTTTTTTCAGCCAATCGTTATTGCAATAATTTAGACCTTCCTATATTTATGAACGGTAATGTACTTGATGAGTCACCTACCTTTCATCTTCTAGGATTAACTTTTACTTCCGTTCTTTCTTGGTAATTTTATATCAAATCTGTTGCAAAATTAATATCTGCTAAAGTCGCTATCTTTTATTTTATTCTCTATCTCTATAAATCTTAAATCCGGCCTTGTATGGAATACTGTTGCCCTTTCTCTTTAAGACAAGGTGCAAAAACGCATTGTAAACATAGTTGGACCTGCTCTTGCAGCCAACCTTCAACCTCTGTCACATCGTCGTAATGTTGCTTCTCTTTCTCTTTTCTACAAATACTATAATGGGCACTGCTCTAAAGAGCTAGCATCTCTTGTGCCATCTACTAAATTTCATTCTCAAGTTACTCGTCATTCAATTAAGTCTCATCCTTTTTCTGTTATTGTTCCTAAGTGCTCCAAAAACTCCTATTTGTCTAGTTTTTTTCCTCGAACATCAGTTCTTTGGAATTCACTTCCTTTATCTTGCTTTCCTGATTCATATAATTTACAATCTTTTAAGTCGTCTGTTAACAGTTATCTTGCTCTACAATCTTCATCTTTTCTCTTCCAGTAACTTCCAACACTAATTAGTGGTTGCTTGCAGCCTTGTTGGAGGCGAAGATGTTAAAAAAAAATAAAAAAAAAATATGATAAACATAAAAAATCATATATAATAAAAGAGAAAAGGAAAATAAACAAAAAATAAGAATAATTATTATAGTAATAGAAAAAAATTATTACTCTTGTTCCATTCACAGATGTACCATACACACAGATACACAACATACATGCACAGATACACAACATAATTCTTACCATACTTTTGAGTTTTATATGATGGTACAATAAGTTTTTCATTATTTATATTTCGCGTAGAGTGTGTATGAATTAGTCTACTTTCTATAAAAAAGTTTGCAAAAGAAGAAGGTAAATTTTTATTTAGAGAGTTAAAAACAAAAAGAAAATTAGCGAACTTTACTAGCAAATGAAAGGTTGGAATTTTAAATTTTTCAAAAGAATCTGATGTATCTGATTTGAAAGGTGGAAAGTTTATTATTCTAATGGATTTGCGTTGAGATGACATTAGTTTGTTAATATGATAGTTGCCAGTTTGACTCCAAACTTGACAACAATTACTAAGATGAGATGAAAATAATTCATAGTAAATATTTAAAAGAGTAACTTTATAGACATAATGTTGAATTACTGAAAGCATACCATTTTCACAATTAAGTTCTAGCGCAACTCATCAATATGGAAGTTCCACAAAAAATTCAATTAATTAACACAGCAAGATATTTAATAACTCTCGAGACATATAGTTGTTTATTATTTATTTTGATTTTAGTTTCAACATTGTTACAGTTTTTTCTGTTGTTGTTGCAGTTTTTTCTAGGAGATGAAAAAAAAATTAGTTCAGCCTTTTCGGTGTTAAGACATATTAGGTTGCCATTTAACCAGTGAACTATACCTTTAAGATCCGAATTTATATTTTTACATAGAGAATAGTATGATTTGTTGACATGTAAGAGATTGATATCATCTGCAAATAGATGAACCAACAAGAAGTGAACAGAGTTGTTTAGATCATTAATGAATTTAAAAATAAATATGTGCCCTTTCAGAAAAAGAAGAAAAAACAAAGAATAAATTTATTTCTGCTTCTACCCAAACCCTTAGTTGATGTTGCTGCACTCCCTTGTATGTTCTACCTAAATAGTCAGTAAATATATGTGCTAAAGCCCCAGCAGCAACCTGTTTCAGTATAACATCATCAGTGTAAACCTAATGCTGCATTCATATAGGCAAAAAAATTATTTTTACTAATTTTTTATTTAACAAAACAAGTTTTTATTTCTTTATATAATTGGTTCTATATTAATTCTAATTTGTATTGTATTTTATAAATTTTTTGAAACTTACTTTTTCTCAATTATTTTAAACATTTTTTAGAAAATAAAAAATAATTTTCTTTTTTTTTATGTTTTTTTTTTTTATAATGTAATTTTTTATTTTAGAACACAACATATTTGGTCATAGATAGGTTAGATCCATATACAACTTACGTACTAAGAGTTCTAGCTTTTCATTCTATGGGAAATGGAATTAGTTCATATTCGGTTGTTGAAAGAACGTTTGAAGGAAGTAAGTAAAAAAAATATTTTTCAAAGAACAGTGAAGTAATTTTTGAAATATAACTGAATTAAGTACTACAGTCAACATGTTTTATTGAAACAGTCTTGCTTGTCAATTCTTATTTTTAAGTTGAAAAGACGAGAGGGAAAAACCTTCTAAACAATAGTTGACATTGTTAAAAGGGGAATTTGTTGAAAAAATAAAAAAAGCATACTTGTTAAGATCAAACTCATTTAAATACTGTCTATCTCATACAAGTGTGCTCAAATTCATTTAAGTGTGGTCAAACTCATTAAAAAAAAATATTATTTAACTTAATATGATTTTGTTTTAATCTTCAATAGTTATCTTTAGTTCAAGTATTTTGTATTTTAAGAACCTCCAGAAGAACCCAAAAATTTGACATGTACACCTGATTCATCAAGCAGTGTTACTCTGTATTGGAATCGTGTAATGGAATGGAGAGGATTTAAACGGAGTTATACAGCAACTTATAAACTATTTAGTGTAGAAGAACCCTTCTCTAATGTAACATTTAGCACAAATGATGTAACAGGAAAAATTTCTAGCTTAAAAGTCTTTAGTAAATATGTGTTATATCTCACTGCAGACACTAATGCTGGATCAGGGCCTGAGGCCTGGTGTGTTTTCACTACTTTGGGAACAGGTAGTTTTTTAAATTAATTTTATAGAAAATTTGTTGATTCAAAAAATGTTTATTTTAAATTAAATTAGTTTTTAAAATTTTTTTTAAAACTTTTTAAAAATTAGTTTTTAAAATCTTTTTAAAACTTTTTTATATTAATTTATTTTTTAATTTTTATTTTTAGTTCCATCAGTTGGTCCTTTGATAATTGGCTGGTATCTTGATCAGTATCGTCCAAGTGAGGCTGTCATCCGATGGAACCCAATCCCTGATAATTATACCAATGGAAAATTGTTATATTATAAAATTTCTTATGGTATATCTCGTATTGGAAAAGTCTTCTTTCCTCCTAAAATGACAGATGTTTGGGTATTGTTTTTAAACATTAACGTTCTTTTAATATTTTTTGTTTTTGTAATTATCATTGTTGTCTTTTTTTAGTTTTTCTTTTTTTTTTTAATTTAATGTTTATGGTTTTATATAAAATGGTTTTTTTTAATATCTTAATGTAAAATTAAAAACACTAAAGTAATGTTTGAAATAAGTAAAAAATTAAAAATGTTACAGTGATTATGAAAACTACTTTAAAATGTTTGATTTCAATAAGTTGACAATCCTAAAACATTTAATTTTACTTTAGTCAGGTCAGGTTATCCTGCTACTGGTAAAATGTAACCCAGTACAACCTGCCTAATGTCTCCTGCTGCCTTGTAGGATACGCTTTTTTAGGCAAAGGATAGGAGAAGCCAACTCCAACTTAAAACGCTCCTTGCCTTAGGGCTCTTAATTGAGTAAAGAAGTGAGTAAAGTAGAGATGGTGTCTCAATAAAAATACTCATCTTGGGCAGATATTAAATGCATCGGGCTACTGTCTTCTAGAAGGCCTCGTAGGCAAGGAATTAAGGGGTAAACGGATTCTATCTGTTGACCAGCCTTGTACCCCTTCTTCATTTTCTTAGGCTGGATGTATTTATAATACATCAGATTCAAGATCTGCTTTAAGTGATCTAAATGTAAAACTTTACCACCTCCATCTAGTATATAGTAAAATCATTAAGTTACAGCAGTTGGCAAGTTAGCCATAGAACACTGTTTCTAGTTTAGGATGTTGAATGCTGGATCTTCTTGATTCAATGCATGGGTTTTGCTTGTGTCTCTGCCTTATGACTAGGCAACTTATTCTATTATCTCCTAATGAGGGTACAGCTCTAAAACTCATTTTTATGGTTCTGAGGCTAGCTAGTAGTCAAGTTTCTTGAATTCTGTGGTAGCTCTCAGAGAGGCTGATTCCATCAACACCTGTAAAATATCAGAGTACTAACAGTGTCATGTTGCGCATGGATGGTGTTGTGTTTCTACTTTTAGTGTGCATTGTCAAGGCCACATTTAAAGCCCTTTGTAACAGCTTAGGGTTTATATATAGTAGTAAGGCAATTGCTTGAACTATCAAATAGTTTACTGAGTTCTATCTATGCTTTGAGTCAAGTTCTTTAACAAATTTAAAAATGACTAAAGTACCAAAAACTATAAAATACAAAAAACCATCGTCATTACCAAATTCTCTATACCTATCATTCACTAAGATTTGTGGTTTTCAAACTAACTTTACTTTTGTTAAGTCTTATCTCTTGCAAAACTCACCAGATCTACTTGGTCTTTGTGAGACTATTTTGAGTTCGGCTGTCTCATCTTGTAATTTTAGTGTAGATGGTTATTTTCCTTTAATTTATTAAGTCTCCAATAGTCACATGCTTGGCCTGGGCGTTTACATTCATAAGAATTCACTCATTTGTCAGGAAACTAGGTTTGAATTCACCGATTATTCTTTTATGTGCTTTCGTTTAGCACCATTTCACTCTATCGCATTTAGCACCATTTCACTCTACCACCTTTCTCTTTCTTCTATATCGCTCTCCTTCATCTCAAGACTGCACTCTTTTCAATGCTATTTCTGATTAAATTGACCAAGCCCTCTCTCTTTATCTATCAGCCAATATTGTTGTTGTTGGTGGCATGCTCGTCACACTGATTGACTTAACTCTAGTGTCAGTGACTCTGCAGGCATTAAGGCCACAACTTTTATCTTTCTCAATCTCTAACTCAAATAGTCAGCATTCCAACTCTCTCTTTTCTGTGTGATGGCCCTTGGGTAGAAATCTTTTGTCTTCCTGCGACAAATATGCTCCTTACATATCTTTTTGGATTCAGGCTGGCATGGAATCTTTTATTCCTTTTTGATAATTCCAAGCCAAGCCTCACTCTTCTCCATAGTTTTCCTTAAATTGTGCTGCTGCAATTTTCAATCGAAACCATTACTTCCATATCTATTTGCAAAATAATTCTCCAGAAAACAAACGTCTGTTTACTATTACTAGAAACCATTGTAAAAAGGTTTTGTCTAACGCCAAAGCCCGTTATTTTGAGGTTATGAAATTTTGTATTTCATCTCAAAAATTAGTCATTCTCTCATGGCTTTTGTAGAATCTTTAACAGTATCAATAATGAAGGCAAATCTGTTATTCACTTCTCTTGTATAGTTCAGACTTTGTCACCTCACCTAAAGATAAAGCTGAATTGTTTGGTAAGAACTTTACATTAATATCATCTCTTGATTCCAATAGTTGTGTTCTACCTAATTTAGCCATCAAACAGGTTCATCCATTGTTTGACATTTGTATCACTCCAGCTTCTGCATCATATTTGTATCACTCCAGCTTCTGCATCCACAGGAAAATGGTACAATGGTCTTAATTATTAAAAACTCTGAAGATCACTCTGACCAACAACTTCCTAATCTTTTTACTATTACTTGCAAGGTTTTACAAAATTCTTCTTGTTCTATGGCTAACTTGCCAACTGCTTGTAACTTAATGATTCTATTATATACTAGATGGAGATGGAGATAAAAAATGTTTTACATTTAGATCACTTAAAACAGATCTTGAATCTGATCTGTCTTCTGAAACAAACAAAAAACAATTTGTAAGCAATGGCTTACAAACTTTAAAAAATTAAAGTGAAAAAGTCTCATAAATTTGTTTGCTAATGTCATAAAATGAAAAATATTATAGTTAAATATAATATAATTATTAGATATAATAAAAAAATAATAAACGTATATAGTATGAAAATAACAAAACAATTATGGTATGAAATTACTAAAATAAATATATTATAAAGTTAATAAAACAAATATAATATAATAGTAATAAAACAGATAATTAGTAGTGTTTAGAATGTTTAGGAAATTGTTTATTTTTAAAATAAGAAAAAAAAAGTGCACCTTTAAATAATGCATTTTTTCCATTTAGAATGAAAAAATGTTTTTGTTTTTCAAATAAAGTTATAAAATGATAAATTTTATTAATCTTGTTTTGGATTTCTCTTGATGAGAGTTTTTTATGAAATTATAGATACAGTTAATAATTAAATAATAAAAGTTATGAAACATTAATATCACCAAAAATTAACTGAAAAACAAGACTGGATTTAAAGACACGTATCTCTTTTTAAGTTATAAGGTAAAACAAAAAAGAAAAGTGTTTTAGAAAGTATTTTTATTTTAGTTTTTATCTATTTAATCAGTTATTTTTAATTAAATCATGGCTTTATCAGTTATGTCTGGACAAGGCCTTTCAAAATAGTCTAAAAAATTTCAATAGAACCACATTCTGGGATTTTTGCAGGTTAATCCGCTTTCTCAACAAAATTTTCTTGTTTAAGTACCTGGTTACTGTTATTGCATAGTGAGATGATGCCAAATTGGGCCAGAATACATATGCAACACCTGAATGATACTTATCAATTAATGAAATGTGTCGCTTTTTAATGCATTTGTTTAAGTAAATTTCTTGATTTATAGCCATAAATAGGGCTGAAAAATCCCATTTTTAGAAAGAGCAATCCATAGAAGTAATTTTTTTTGAAACTTCTGTTTTGTTTGGTATTTAAATGTAGATAGAGTAAATTTTGCATTAATAGTTTAAAAAATATCATTTCCATTGATACTGGAGTGATTTAACATGAAATAAGACTCATCACCAATAATTGTTTTATGATTTTTAATTTTCTGATACAATCGGCTGCACTTAGTTTTTAGTTCAACTGCTTTTTGCTGGTCAGAATGTTTTGGAATTGTCATTTTAATTTATGGTTTAATTTTTCTCTTTTTCTTCAATGTTTTACTAATATACTAATATACTTACTTTTTGCTACCTGTTGTCGAGAAACTCTGTCTTTAAGATCAAACCATAAAAAAGGAGTTTTTTTATATTCATATTTGAACCTTTTAATGTTTGTCTTGGTTATTTTTTTAGCCTTGCCTCCACTTCCTTGAACTCTTTGGTAAGCAGATTCACTTTCAGCACGTTTAGTTATCTTGTATACAGTACTTTTAGGTATATTCTCAGTTTTAAAGTGGTCATAAGTGAACTTTTAACCAACATTTCTGTAATTTGAATAAAATTCATACACACGTTTTCTAATCTCTTCTTGTCTTGAATTTATTTTTTCATTCATATGTCTATAAAAAATAAATTTTCAATAAAAACAACTTAAAATATTAAAAAACTAGAATAAATAAACTTTTTTAAACTTTTTTTTAAATATTTTTAAATTTCCTTTAATTTTTAAATGTACTTTTTTCAATATTTTTTTTATTTAGGTTGACCAGTATACCACAGGATATGTAATTAAAAGTTTGTCTGTTAATGCAGAATATACTGTATACATTGCTGGTGAAACAATTATGGGAGCAGGAAACAGAAGTAACACAATATTTATTGGTAAGTTTTATCTTAAATATGCTAGTGTATATATATATATATATATGCAAATTATTATTATTATTATTATTATTATTATTATTATAAATATATTTCAAACAACAGGTAGATACAGTTTATGTGCCAGGTCCATAGTTTTCACAAGAAAGATATTATTTTAAACTTTGATTAAGTAAACGCATGGAATTATTCACTAAGGAACAAGCCATCAACTGTTTACAAAAAGCATGTCTGTAGTTCAAGATAATTGTATGAAAAGATGGTAATCTGTGCTCTAAAAGCATGAGAGATATTCTATCATAATTGTTGTAGCCAAAAAACATTTTACCACACTTTTGTAGCAATACTGAAGGCAAGACTTGTCTACAAAATACATATATATATATATATATATAATACATACATATATATATAGATATATACATCTATCTATCAATATCTACATATCTATCTATCTACCTATCTATCTTTGTATATATATATATATATATATATATATATATATATATATATATATATATATATATATATATATATATATATATATATATATATATATATATATATATATATATATATATACATACATATATATATATATATATATATATATATATATATATATATATATATATATATATATATATGTATATATATATATATATATATATATATATATATATATATATATATATATATATATATATATATGAGAGAGAGAGAGAGAGAGAGAGAGAGAGATATGCATATATATATATATATATATATATATATATATATATATATATATATTAATGAAGAAAAAACAACTTTTTCTATGGTACTTCAAGTTTCATGCCTATATGGCAATCATCAGCCATTGAATACAAAATCAAAAACAAAAAACCAGCTAAAAATTACAAAATACCGTGTAGTGGGATCTTAACGTTGCTAAGACACACTTGATGGCAACCAAAGAAAAAACAAAATATCAGCTAATCACCAGTGTCAAAAAAAGATAAAAAGAATTTATTTTGTGTCTGCATTTTGAAAGCAACTCATTTCGTTTATTTAATAAGTTATCACCTTTATATGTTAAAAGAAGAATTTTTTGAATAAGCAAAGATGGCAAAATTTTGAAGAGGTGTTATAAGTATTGCAACGATTTACAATTTTCCACTTAATTAAGGGTGTAAACATTTTGTCTTTTATGTCCCAAATTTCTTTAGACAGCCTGGTATCATTTTTATATTTGTTAATCTTAAAAGATTTTAAGTGATTCGCATACGGAGATTTGAATGGAGTTTCATATAAGCCAAAATATACTTTTTCTTTGTAGTCAGGTTTATTTGACAAAACCGTGGCTTGATAAACGATATTTTTTGTCATGCACTGATTGTTCATGGGACAGATGAATTTGTTTACACAGTTGCATGTTTTTCCCTCATTTTTATCTTGGCTATATAATATCCTGTGGTTGTGCAAATTAATGATCGACTAAATATTTGGCATACATAATTAACAACTTTAAAATTAGAGCTGATGGATATATGAAGATCATTATTTTTAAAAATCTTCACAAAGTGCTTTTAAATTTTTTCATCTGTTGACCACTCCAGTTCTTAAACACTGCTAGACCATCATCTCTATACAATCCGAATTCATCTTTATTGTAATATTGCGATAATTGAAACAAGAAAAATATTCCAACTAACTCACAAACTTCTGTGCCATCAAAGGCTCCCATGGTTACATCAAATAAACCTCCACAATATTAAAAAGCACTTTGTGAAGGTTTTTAAAAATAATGATCTTCATATATCCATCAGCTGTAATTTTAAAGTTGTTAATATATATATATATATATATATATATATATATATATATATATATATATATATATATATATATATATATATATATATATATATATATATATATATATATATATATATATATATATATATATATATATATATATATATATGATGATGAAGCATGAGCAATCACTCTATGCACATGAAACATGCTCATAAATGGCCTTCCAGGTGAAACAAATAGCGCTCGCTAATTTCCTAACAAGCATAAAAAATTGCACTCACCTGAAGAATGTGCGAGGGAGAAGATTATAAATTGATTTTATAAAAAATATTTGTTGTAAAATTTTTATGCACAAGTCAAAATATGTTTAATTAGTAGTCTGATTCAGTTTAATTAGTAGTCTGATTGTTGGTGTATGCACGCTCTTTTTTTCTTTTGCCAACAGAGTACTTGTAAGTGTCCACTGATATCATAGCTTCTTTTTCAAATTTTTAAAACTTAATATAACCTTCTGTCCGAAAATACACTGGGAGCTATACAGTTTATTTGCCACTTTTAAATCAATTTCAATGACTTGAAGCATTTTGTTCACTTTGTTGAACTGTTTATAATTGCGATTCAGATGAATGGCAGATGTTTCAAGCTAATTCCATTTTTTGAAAAGTCTACCAGCTTTTACTATTGTGTATTCCGCTCATGCATTTTGTCATTATTCCTCTAATTCAAGACTGCCTTGAAGTTTAAGTGCTTAATTTGCATATACAAATATATAAACACTATTGACAATTAGGAACTTAAAAAAACATATTAATAAAACAATGCAACAGACATACTTTATTTTTTAGACATGCATACAAAAAGTATATTGTTATACTTTTGTGTTTTTTTTTTTTTATTTAAAAAAAAATAGATTCAAGATATAAAAAAAGAATATTGTGCTTTTTTATTTTAAATTTTTAAACATATTAAAAATCAATTTCTAGTTGGCTAGCCTTTCCAAAAACCCTAACCCTACAGTGGCTGCAAATGCTGGTCATGTGTAAAGATAGAATGTAATAGATACATTTATATAAACTCATTCAAGTTGTTTGCATACAAATATTTAAAAGCATTTTCAGAATCCAAATTTTCAGTAAAATAAAAAGAAAGAACTTTAATCCCAAACTTAGTTCTTCACCTTTTTACCTTTGGGATCATTCCTAAATTATGTCAGGCTCTAGGAGAAGGAAGAGGGGGGGGGGAGGGGTTAGTGATTTTGTGACAACTCATATGGGACTTGTTACTAAAGTATTACAATGTTGACAAGAGAAAGAGGATCAAAACTGGTTGAAAATTTATGGACGACTGCTTTGTCTGCTAGTTTACTTTCCCATGCAATGCATAAATTTTGATAAGATTTTAAAATATCTGGGTGCAAAGATGCATTAAAAGCATTAAACTTTTTATTGCAATAGTAATGCAATAGAATGTGCAGTAGTACAGAAGTAGTACAGAAGTAGTGCAGAAGTAGCACATTTAAGTATTTTATAGAAAACCTCTTGTTTATATTTTTTATTTTTGGTTTATGTTTTTCCAAGTTTTGTTCAGGTTTGTTTGTTCAGGATTTTTTGTTGCAAGTTTTGTACAGGTTTGTCAAAGAATCCCTTGCTTTTTCTTACTCTTGAAACAGATTCTGCTGCAAAACTTTCTATTACCATTAAAAAAGAAGTAATTTCTTGTGCAATAACAGAGACAAAATTTTTTCTGTTTGTAAATTTCTAAAATCACTCTTTTCATTGACTTTAAAGCCTCTAAAATATTCATTGAAGCTGATTGAAGTTTTTTGTTTGTTAAATTACTTTCCAATAAAAATATATGTCAAATTATAATCGAACCCAAATAATCAAATCTTGTTATTTTTAAAGCAATTGACTTAACTGTAATTTTTGCACTTGCTAAATTAGCATTTTCAGCTGCACCTTGCAGTGCTTTACAAATTTTTGGCATTCAAGTGAAAGAATTTTTACAATATTGATGTGCCTTTCCCAGAGGTGGAAAGTAACGAACTACATTTAGTCACGTTACTGTAATTGAGTAGTTATTTTGAGAATTTCTACTTATTGAGTATTTTTTTAAATGTGTACTTTTACTTTTACTTAAGTATTTTTTTTGCTTTACTTTAATTTGCTTTATTTTTTAAGTATTTATATATATATATATATATATATATATATATATATATATATATATATATATATATATATATATATATATATATATATATATATATATATATATATATATATATATATATATATATATATATATATATATATATATATATATATATATATATATATATATATATATATATATATATATATATATATATATATATATATATATATATATATATATATATATATATATATATATATATATATATATATATATATATATATATATATATATATATATATATATATATATATATATATATATATATATATATATATATATATATATATATATATATATATATATATATATATATATATATATATATATATATATATATATATATATATATGTATATATATATATATATATGTATATATATATATATATATATATATATATATATATATATATATATATATATATATATATATATATATATATATATATATATATATATATATATATATATATATATATATATATATATATATATATATATATATATATATATATATATATACAGTACTGGTCATAAGTTTAGAGCCACCCCATTTATTTTAGTTTTTTACAGATTATAAAGCCATAACCCCAGTGCAGCAAAATATTATATTACTGAAACATGCAAAATATATTGTTATAATATTTTAGTTCCAAAATGAGTATTAAAATTTTAATAATGAGTAGGTCCACCTTTATTTTTAATTACTTCAGCCAACCGGGCTGGCATAGTGTCAACAAGCTTCTTGCAATCAACAGCAGTAATACTAGTACAAGCGGCAGAAATAAAGTCCCAAACTTCATGTTTATTACTAGCACGTTTGCCTGCACAGCGGCAATCAATTTCATCCCACAAATTTTCCATGGGGTTCAAATCCGGTGACTGGGATGGCCAGTGCAAGACTTGAACACCATTAGCAGCTAGAAAATTTTTAGCCACTTTGGACGTGTGCTTAGGATCATTGTCTTGCTGAAAGATCCATGGAGAAGTTGCAGGAAACAATGCTGTTGCTGAAGGTAGCAAATGCTTTCGCAAAATGTCTCTATACATGGCACCATTCATGATTCCTTCTACCTGATGCAACTGGCTCGGCCCGAAAGATGACATACAACCCCACACCATGATGCTACCATCACCATGCTTTACAGCTCCCTGCAAACATTCTGGTTTATATGATTAATTTTGACGAGGCCAAATGAAAATACGTCGAGAATTATTACCAGCTAAATTAAATTTGGACATAAAATTTGACATAAAGTTGACATTCTAGGACAGCCACATCTGGGTTTGTCCGTGAATGTATTTGATTCCAAATGTTTCTTATATGCATTTTGTACAGCATGGCGTCTTTTTTTCAATTTTTTGGCTATATCATTTAGGCTTAAGCCACTAATTTCCTTTAAAGCCACCACCTGGGCCTGAACAGTTGAATCAAGGCTTTTAGCTTTGCTTATTTCAGAAAATATTTTCACTTAAACTCTAAAATAAAAACTAATTATCTAACTAGTGTACACATTCCAAAAAGTAGCATAAATAACAACTGAATTAACCAAAACATTGATACCAATACATCATAAAGTTACCAAAATATGTTAAAATGTTCAAAAATTGGCTATAATATTAAAGAACTCATGAAAATCAATATTTATATTTGGTTTAATACACAATTATTCATGAAAATCAATAGATTCGTACCTTGTCAAATTACTATATGCATTGTTATGCTTATGTTAACCTCACCATACTTATGCTGCAAAATCATGAAAAAAACAGGTGGCTCTAAACTTATGACTAGTACTGTGTATATATATCTATATATATCTATATATATCTATATATATATATATATATCTATATATATCTATATATATATATATCTATATATATCTATATATATATATATATATATATATATATATATATATATATATATATATATATATATATATATATATATATATATATATATATATATATATATATATATATATATATATATATACATATACATATATATATATATATATATATATATATATATATATATATATATATATATATATATATATATATATATATATATATATATATATATATATATATATATATATATATATATATATATATATATATATATATATATATATATATATATAACGGTACTGAAAATTGTTTCATAAATCTAAAAGACCACAAAGAAAACTTCCTAGATAAACCAACTGTTAGACTTATTAATCCTGCAAAAAATGAGATTGGAAGAATTTCAAAATCTATTTTATCCAACATTAATTCCAAGCTGAGAAAGAAACAATTTTTGAACCAATGGCAAAACACTCAAAATGTTATACACTGGTTTCAAACCATAAAAGAAAAACAATTCTGTAAGTTTTTAGTCTTTGATATTAATGATTTTTATCCATCGATTATTGAAAACCTGCTGAAAAATGCGTTATTCTTTGCAGAGCAACATCTAATAATAAATAGTGAGCGAAAGAGTTTTATATACCATGCAAGAAAATCGTTATTATTTAGCAATGGAATTGCTTGGATTAAGAAAAAGGGAGGATTATTTGATGTCACTATGGGGGCCTTTGGTGGCGCGGAGATTTGCGAATTAGTTGTTATTTTTATTTTACATCAAATCTCGCAATTTTATAATAAAAATAATTTCGGTATATATCGAGATGACAGATTAGCTATATTTAGAAACAAAAGTGGTCAAGAAATGGAAAAGATAAAAAAACATTTTGTACAAATCTTTAAAAATAACAATCTTTTAATATCCATTCAAAGTAATTTGAAAATAGTTAATTATTTGGATTTAACGCTAAACCTTAAAGATGGTTCATTTAAACCCTACCGCAAAGCAGATAATATACTTAACTACATACATACAAGTTCTAACCACCCACCGAGTATAATAAAAAGTGTTCCTAAAACCATTGAGTTAAGATTATCAGCAGCATCGTCAAGTGAATCAATTTTTAAAGAAAGTATTCCTCCTTATCAAGAAGCCCTGAAAAAATCTGGACACACTTGCGAACGTGCATACCATCCAAGTATAAAATCAACCAACAACAACCATAAGCGTAAAATAATTTGGTATAATCCTCCTTTCAGTACAAATGTTGTAACAAAAATAGGTAAATGTTTTTTAAACCTCATCGACCACCACTTTCCAGTTGACCACAGACTCAGTAAAATATTTAATAGAAACACAATCAAAATAAGTTATTCCTGTATGCCAAACATAAAATCCATTATCAACTCTCACAATAAAAACACGTTACATGAGGAAGCAAAAGTTAATGAAAAGACATGCAACTGCATTGATAAATCCAAATGTCCGATGAACAACAATTGTCTTTCTAACAACATTGTTTATCAAGCCACCGTTTGTTCAAACAATCCGGAGTACAAAGAAAAAGTGTATTTTGGACTCAGCGAGACATCTTTTAAAGTTCGATATGCAAACCACCTCAAATCTTTTAATTCAATTAGATATAAAAATGATACAGAGTTATCTAAAGAAATATGGAAATTAAAAGAAAAAAACTTTACACCTTTTGTCAGATGGAAAATTGTTAAACGTTGCAAACCATACAACCCAACATCAAGAGTGTGCAACTCTGTTTGAACGAGAAGTTTCAAATTCTAATGTATAAAGGTAAAAACCTACTTAACACAAGAAGTGAAATAATCTCGAAGTGTAGGCACAAAAATAAATTTCTTATTTCCTCCTATGATACCGCAGATTGATCCTGATTGGTTTACGTCACTTTTATGCCACTCTTAAAACTTAAAGTTTTGTTTCCATGGAGTCATTAGAACTCACGCCACCGTAATTTTAATTGTTATTTTAACATCTATTTTAAATTTTGTAATATATGGCTGATGATTGCCGTTAGGCATGAAACTTAAAGTTCCATAATAAAAGTTTTTTCTTTTTTCGTTTTTAATTTTATATATATATATATATATATATATATATATATATATATATATATATATATATATATATATATATATATATATATATATATATATATATATATATATATATATATATATATATATATATATATATAGATTTAAATTTATAAAAGAAAAGATTGCTCTCCATTGTGGCAGCAGACAATTAGATAATCCATGTATGTACTGAAGCCTTCAGGAGCAAGCTATTTTAATGTGACGTCAAAGTGTATATATAAACATGCATTTACATATTACATATACATTGTGTGTGTATATGTAATATATATAAATATATATATATATATATATATATATATATATATATATATTTATATACCTTATTAAAGTGTTTTTATATTTTCATTGTATTTTCCTTTTGTTTTCATTGTTTCTTTTAAAATTTTTTAGAATCCTGCAAGTGTCCTACTAATATTTATACTGCGTGGTACAAAGACGACAAAGATAAATCTTTAATTTATGGTGTTAATCAAAACATCACTGGAGGGATAATGTATGACTTTTTAAAAGATATGACAGCTTCAATATGCTCTAGTTGTCCTGGTTTAATCTCTGGGGCTGTATCATACAATCTTTATTGGGATAGGACAAAAGATGGACATTCTCCTCAACGATCAAGTACATTTTTTTTTTACTATTGAATATTGTTGCTACTGGTAATGATGATGATTCCACTCAGAAAAATATTTTGAAATATTTTAAATGTGACTTTTAGATCATGATGATTTAAAGAAACTTGTTGATAATAATGTGCACTTTAGTTTACCAGTTAATGGCAAGGCATCAGTTGAAACATTTCAATCAAAATTTAAGTATGTGCAAATTGTGTCTTCGCCAGGTGTTGCATTTATAGTAAGAGATGCATCAGCAGATTTTAATAAGTCAAAAGCAGTTGCTGCAGCTATATTTAATTGTTGGCCTGCTGTTATAATAATATTTCTTTTCTCAACTATCAGTGGCACTTTTATGTGGATTCTGGTAATTTGTTAAATTCTTTCTTTGTTTTGATTTAAGCAATATAAAAATTTTAAAGAATTTAACTTATCTTATATAGGATCGTAAAATAAATAAAATAGAATTTCCAAATGAAAGCTTTATTCGTGGTATTCTCCATGGCACTTATTGGGCGTTTGTCAGTATGACTACTATTGGGTAGGTAAAAATTTTTTTTCTAGATTCTTATAATGTCTTAGATAACATTAAATAAAAAATTACATTATAATTATAAATTACATTTTTTAATAAAAGTGTTAAACTTTAATAAATTTATTACAAATAAACACAAATAAATTTGTATAATAGAGAGCTAATTCTTGCAAATTATTTAATTATCACAAAATGTATTTAATAATTAATAATGAATGAATATATACTTTTATAAATGTTGTTGTTATTAAATATTTGTTGCAGTTGTTTAGAGAGTTAACCTTTTTTAATCAATTCTGCTCTTATACTTGTAAATGTTTAGAATAAACAAGCTGTTTAAATGGTCATAACATACTACAAGTGTTTTTTTATTCTTTAAGTTTAATATTATACTACAAGTGGTTTTTTCTTTATTTTACTAATTGATCTTTGGCCAAAAAATAGAGTTATCTGTTATTATACTATTATTTTTTGCTTCTTTTTTTTTAGCTTTATTTACCTGTGTACTATTGTTGTATGAAAATATAAAATTAAAATAATAGAAAACAAAAAAATTTTGATTTTTCTCTCATAAGTACATATATAAATATATATAAACATGTTCAAGTAAAATTTTTTTCTTTCTAAAATTGAATGTTTGTAACTTTTTGATTCTTTATAAAATAAAAAAGGTCTATCTATTGTCATAATAACTGTTAAAAAAAAATTTTAGATTAACTAAAGAATTGTAGATTATCTTTATTTTCAATAACAAAATTATTACAATTAAAAAAATATCTACCACACTTATTTTTTTTTTTTTAACAGTTATTATTTTTAAAATTTTCTTTAAACAAAAAAAATGTAAAAAACAATTAAGTACTTTTTTAAAAAATGCTCTTTAATTCCGAGTTTTTATTAATAATTAAAGTGAGTACTACGAACAGTTTTTTTTATTTGTTTTAATAAAAAATAACCTTTAACTTTTACTGATTTACCTTTACAAAACATTTTAGTTGTTGTTTTTAATTAGTTTTTTATTTTTATTTATTTATTCTGATTAAATCCCACCAAGGCTGCAAGTAACCTCTATTAAGTTAAGAGTTACTAGAAAAAAGTAATAGAGTTATTGAGCAAAGAAATGGTTGATTGAAGATTGTCTTGAAAAAGTTGATGGAAGATTGTCTTGAAAAATTGAAGATTGTATGAGTCAGGAAAGCATAAAGATGGGAGATAGTTCCAAAGTGTTAAAGTGCTGGGTAAAAAACTAGACAAATAAAAGTTTTTAGAACATGCATGGACAGATACAGTAAAAGAATAAGACTTTGCTGAATGACAAGTCAAGCAAGATTAAGTTTTAGTTGATAAAACTAGAGATGATAGCTCCATTGAGCAGCAACCATTATTTGTAAAACTGAGACAGAGATGCAACTTTACAACAATGCAAGCTTAGCAGAGGAAGAGGACACAGTGAGAGCCATTTTATTAATAGGGGAATTTCAACAGTACTATGACAGTTGTATGCAGTAAATAATTGAATTTTGTTAGAGTTAAAATTCATAAGCCACTGTGAGCCCCAATCTGTTACAGAAGTGAGGTCAGATTCAAGATTGGCTGCCTGTTCTAAGCAATCTAAAACAGCATACTTTTTGTCAAGACAGGAGTATAAAACTCTCATCAACAAAAAGAGCTACTTTAATTGTAAGATTGTCCGGAAGATCATTAATATAGATAAGAAAACAAGACTCAGTCAAGAACTTCTTAAATAGTTTAGAGAGAATTGAAAAAAATTCTGGAGAAAAATTCTCTAAGACTTTGACAGGGATGTTGTCTGGACCACAAACCATAGAAGAGTTTAATCGAAATATAACTTTAGCAATGAAAGCTGAGTTATTTGAATGTCTAACAATGGGTTAACCTGTTTAATTGAAATGGAGGGAGGAAATGGTCATAAGATTCAAGAGTCAAATTAGAGTAAAAGTTCTTTGCAAATAGTTCTGCTTATCATTGGAAGAGAAAAAAAGATCAGTCCCAAAAAACGAGAGATGGAATGCTAGACCAAACTTTTAAACAATGTAGTTGAAGATTTTTCACAAATATATTAAGCCTAACCTCTGAGATACAGTAAACTGAGAATAATGGAGTTTAACATCTGACAGCACCTTTTTACATCAATTTCTTGCAATAATAAATAGATGTTTGTTCTCAAGAGAGTTTCTCTTTTGAAAAAGATAAATTAAATGATTACAATTAGATATAGCTGCTGCTTAAGAGGGTGAAAACCATAAAGTAGAATGAGGCTTGGAACCGACAAGAAAGAATAAAAACATTTTGAGTGTTTGTCTATTTACTTAAAAACCACACATATACCATTTATCAATGTATTAAAAATGTTGTAAGAACCATTTCATCAGAAAACAAAGTTTCCACTCTTAAGTCATATGTTGTTTTAAATTCTGTAATTCATGCAGAGATCAGATGGACACTTAAAAATGTTTTATCATAATTTTCTTATCATTTTTGCTATGGACTTTAGGGGCTGATCTAGCATTTTTAAAGGGTGATGCGAAATTTTTTATTAGAACCCCCCTTCTTTGACATCTCTAGGGTTTAAGAATAGTCAATCTCAAAAGTGGAGGGACAGAAAAAGGCGTTGCAAGTGTGGGACGGACATGCCCCAAACAGCTTTTTTTAGGAGTGGCGTCGCTCTTTTTGTCATTAAATAATAACTAAATTTGTTTTGTAGTTTATTTATAGAAACTTTCACAAATGTTGCTTTGGTTATTTGATTCATAAATTAGACATGAATTTTTAAGTCTATTTTACTTAACAAAGTGCACCAACGAGAAGGTAAGCCATAGGACTTTGCACTTCATCTGTGTACTATTATTTTGCCAAAGGTTAGCCCTACATTTCTGGATTCTTTCCTTTCCTTGAGAGGCACATAATGTGAAGTAATGTTGCCTAAGGTTAGCCCTCCATTTCTGGATTCTTACCTTTTCTTGATAAGCACGTAATGTAAAGTAATATTAGGTTATTTATAAACGTAAAGTATATCAATTTAATTAATTTTATAATTATAAAGGTTAGCTCCATTTCTAGATTTTATCTAAAGTATTAGTAATCTTATTTAAGGATAACCTTCCATTTTTGGATTCTTTTCTTTTCTTGAAAGGAATTTTTTTATTTATTTATTAATTTTTATTATACTTTATTATTGAAGATCAATTAATATAAAATAAATATAGGCTAACAGTCTCTCTTTCACATTCATAAGTTGTTATTGGAATTGTTCCTAATATATAAATAAACACTTTTCTTATATTTGGAATATTTCTCACGTCAATGGCTTTTAAAATACTAGCAACAGTTAAAAGAGTATTAAAATGGTTTTTCAAAAATAATTCCTCTAAATCTAAGAAGAAATTACTGCTAGACCTTTATAATCAAAATTACCATTTCCTAGAAACCTATTATCTAGCTCATTAGTAAGATGTTTAATTAATGGAGAAATGCTATGTTTAAAATAGTCACAAACTGTATTTGTTGGATATTTATACTGGTAAACCTAAAAAGTACGCAATCTAGGTCTCACTTCTTGGATATCAAGATAAAACCAAAAACTAAACTAAAAGCAATAGCTACTACAACTAAGTCTATGGCTTGTATAATAAACAAAAAAAGCATTTGTAAGAGCTTTTATTGAAGAAGCAACTCCTTTATATTCACCTCCCATAAATCCTGTACCATCATACCCTTGGCCTCTACAACTTTGAACATCAAGTCCATAAATTTTCAAGACTGATTATATAACTGCACTGGACACTTGTTATTTATAATTTTCAACTTTAGTTAACTTATTTTTACATTTGCAAATATTTTGCAAATACCTAGCCTTAATTGCATTTGAAACTTAAAAATTCTTCTTCGTTTCAAAACTTTAATTTACAAGCAAAGTCCTACAACAAAAGTTACAAGCAAAGTGTGGCATATCAGAATTATGTAAATTTTAAACGATTTGGAGCAACTGATGCAATTGTTCTAAACTTTCTAAAAAATTGATTGGGTAATAAAAACATTCTCCAACCATATTTGAAACATTTTTGGATTTTTTTGCGGAAGGTTTGTAGCAACTGATACAATTATTATCTGATAATATGAATACGCTAATTTAATATTAGTCGAGTTACGTCATTTTCTAGGCTTTTCTATTTTAAAGTAGTTTCTAGGCTTTTCTATACGCGTTTTTTTTTTTAAATTTTATTTACTAACAACGCGTATTACGGGTTGCTTACTGCTAGTTTGAATAAATAGTGGTTGGTTTAAACTGTTTTTTAACCAATCATTTATGATTTAGGGAACAATTGCATCACTTGCTACAAAGTGGTAGAAAAAATTTCAAAAAAATGTACAAATAGGATTGGTTAAAGCCTAAAATATTTATTCTTTAGCCAATCACATTTGTATTTGGTGAAGATCAATTGCATCAGTTGCTCCAAAACGAAGAGAATTTTGTCTAAGTAACGTATAAGTAGTTATAAAGATCAAATCAAATCAAGTTTAGATGTAATAATTTTTTTCGAGTTATAACAAATTCTACATTTTTTGAGAATATCAGAATCTAATTTCTACTTAAACTTTTTATTATGAAAAAAAAGTGAAAAAGGGATTTAGCGGTGCAAAAAGACTGATGCATGCGCATCAGTGGCGACACCCTAGATCCGCCCCTGGACTTTCAATTTTATTAAAATAAATGTTTCCTGACAATAATTTTGCAGAAAAGTTTTTTTCTGCAAAAAGACAAGTGTTCATATAATATTAATTTTGGACTAGCTCCTCATTATGAATCAATTCTTTTAAAAGAGATAGCTCATTATGAATCAATCCTTTGAAACGATCTAGAATAGCCCCTGTATATATATATATATATTATATATATATATATATATATATATATATATATATATATATATATATATATATATATATATATATATATATATATATATATATATATATATATATAT